TGCTCAATATGTCGTTAACTTACCTAAAATAATGTAAGTAAACTGATTTAATTAGATAAAATTTAATTACATTTTATTATTTAATACAGTTATTATTTACTAAGTGCACATGTTAATTTAAACTATTTACTTGAAAGTAAACAATTTAATTAAAGAAATTGGTTGATTTGATGTTGTCATACACAAGCTATCATATCGTATTAAATATGTTTAATATACATATATTATAGTTATTTTATTTAATAGCTTATATGTAAATATCTAAGAAAATAATGCTTTACATCCAAGTACATCAATCTAATTCCTCTAACAATTTTATATTGTAACTAAATTTAAAGTCATCTTAAGTTATTACATTTATTACCGAGATTATATCTTGATAGTTCTCAATATTAATTTCATTTTTTCTGACTTTACAAAACTGATTGCAGGAATTCTTAAATTTCAAAATTATCACATTATAATTATCAAAACTATTTTCTTCTTCGAGCGTAGAGTAATGGGTCATGCGAGAAGTTTGATGTTTCATGTAAAGAACCATTCTGTTCTAAAAATTCTGGAGAGTGTAGCGAAACATCGTCATTAAGAGAACTCGATGGCCGATCGATGATGGATTACCGCGATCCTTGCAGTCTCCCAGCACGAGTTCAACCGCGGCTCCATTCTGCATAAATCGAGTACCCATAACCCGGGCCGCGGCCAATAGAGCTTTATTTCTGGTTCTTAAGCCGAGCCGTCGGAAAGCCGTTGGATACAAAGCCAAAGCGCCATAACCACTTAAGGGAGCTTTTCGCCCACCATGGGTGGCTCATAGCAGCTCATAGCGGAATCGCGAAGTAAGCGGATTTGGCCACTGTTATATCTTTATAAATGGAACTACTCGGAACCTTACGCAAGCGCGCGAGCGCAGACGTTCCATATCGCTCAAGGGATTTGCAAAATTACGTCTTTGTTGTCGAGCGTGCCGTCCCGACCGGAAAATCTCGAGAAAAATCGTTGGCCCTCGAGCCGTCAGATTGACGCGGATCACCTCGCAATTAATGATGTTTTACCGCGCGATAATCGAAAATAAAAAAACCGAGATATAGTGAGTTATATATTTTATGTACAATTAAAAGAATGTTCCGTTTTTAAGTCTTTAAGTTACACTCCCTTGTGTACGCACGATATTATTATTTCTTCCACTAAAAAAATCTTACATTTAATTTTAATAAAAATTTGTATCTTTATATATCGTGTTGTAATCGTATCGTGTTTTATATATTTTTAATTATTTATTATTATTATTCATTACTTTTATATATTTATATTTTAAATTTTTAATATTATAATTTATAATAGTCGATATTTATAATGGGTTTTAAGTATTCTTATAAATAGACTAATAAACAATTATATTATTTTTTCTTTTAAAAAAATAAATAACAATAATAATTTCATGACAAAGAAGATGCGGTCAAAGTCTCACTATAAATGCTTTAAAGGATTTGATTGATCAATCAGAAGAAAGAATTGACTAATCAAAAAATGTTTCAAAACACGTGTAGTATTACGTTAACAATGTTAATCGTTAATTATACCCTGTATTATGCAATGGCGATATCCTAGAATACTACTTTTCCAACTATGGAAACCATCACGAGAACATATACCTACTGAGATAGTGTTATTGTACATAGAAACTTTAAATTTATGTATAATATTACTTATTATTAGTTATAAAATTAATAATTAATTTTGATAGTATAATTAATCCTCAATTTTTCTCATAAATAATTTACTAATAAGACACTATATGTATAAACGTGTAAATATATATAATTTTTCAGAGAAAGAAACCATCTGACGTTTTTCAAAATCGTTCGTATATTAGCGTCAATACATTTAATTACATATATTATAATTCATACTACATATGTAGCTATGTATTAAATATGTAAATAAAATCGTGGTATGGATATCAATAGATGTGCTAAATCATTGTATGCATAAGTGTGAGTTCGTGATACATATACGGATTAAATCCACAATTATGGATGTAATACGAATTGACTTGCCCGTGTTTTCGATAATGAGATTTAGACGAACTGACACATCGATCTTATTTTCGACACTGTGATTTTATCGCCAGTAGGTATATAAAACATTTTTAAAATCACTTAAGAGAGCTTCAAGATTCTTAAAAGCGTTCGATTCTTACAATATTTTAACATCGCGTATGTAAACAGTAACAATTTAATAATATTCATTAATTATTGAATACCTCGTTGGTCGCGAATCCAACGATCCTGTCGAGTCGTTTCTCAATCGTTCTATTTTCCAATAAAGGTTCTTTGCAGTGGTCAGGATTCTTCGGTTTTGTATTTGGATCGAGATCAGTGGAGATATAGGAAAGGTCATGTCCAAAGATGGCGAACAGTGCGAAAACCAAGGACTGCATTCTCCCGCGATGTACGACCGCACCGCTCGACGCAAAACTCGCAAAGGCATAAAATCACGCATTACACGCTATTTATATAAAACGGTAAGCCGTGATCCCCACCACTCGCGCGCCAGCCAATGAGCGTATGCCTGGTTGAACTCAAAATATTCGAGCGCTCATTGGATGAGGCTAGCTTTCGGATATAGTATATAAACGCTACGCATTAAAAAATTTTAGTTTTCGAGTGTCGCACTTTGGGATGTGTCGTACATTCAATATGAGATTTGCGGAAGAGCGGTCTATATGAGGATGGACTATTCTAAAGTTTATTGCTAGTAAATGCGAAAATCTATAACTTCTCATTATGTGCATTATAGATTTTTAATACTGGTAAATTTGAGAACATGATTTGTCATTTGCGGCATAGATGATCTCTTTGTCTTTTCCACGCGATAACTGATGGCTACTTAATTACATGCATCTCATGTAATGCATGTATTCGTATATTTCATTTAGACTTATTTATATCTTTTCTTAAACTAATAATATATACTTGAGATTGCCTTTATTTTATATTTTTGTTTATCGGTTTTGCAAATCTTTCACCGTATTTTCCAATACTTGACATCTACTTCGAATATATTCTCTATTGTGTATTATACGAATTAAGAGACTCGCTCAGTCTTTCAGGAACTATGACATATTACTGAATTAAAAAAAAATTTTTTTCGAAGCTGGAACATTTATAGGTACGAGTTCATGATTCATTCAAAAACGAGGCAATTAACGGATTAGCATCATTTCAACACCGCACATTCGTTTCAATATCATAATTTAATATGGATTCGCATCATATATTTTTAACATCGTGATTTTATCACCAATATGTATTAAGTTTCCAAATCGAAAATAACGAGGCTTTATTTTTGACAGTTCTTCGAAATAGAGCGTCGAAAAACGCCGGGATGACCTCTTTCAGATTTCTTTTTGAATTTTTAAAGGGATTACAAATTAACAGCAGCAGGTAGTATTATTTGGTATTCGTAATCAATAAATAATGGCTGAACATAGTAATGGATAAACACAGGTGTCTAAATAATTGTTGATAAAACTGCTTTGAAAATCATTTAAATTCTACTGTCATTTAATACATTTATATAAATATTACGGGTGACGTACATATACATACACTGAAATGCGGGATCTGTTTTGTGGCTAGTGTACACTTTTAGAACTTAAAATGAGATAGGTATATGTTTAATATTTGAAAGCGAGAAAGAGAGTTCTAGCAGTGCAGTGTAATGCAGAAATAAAAAAACAAACTATATAATACGTTGAACACTGAGACTCTGGTCAAGGTCTCGCTGCAAACATTTTGAAGCATTTGATGGACCAATTAGAAGAAAGAATTTTACAAATTGACCAAAAAACACTTCAAAGTATTTGCAGCATCGCGTAAACCTGACCGTATCCTGAGTGATGTGGTTATGTTATTTGCGGCTACGAGTTATATGTGCACATCGAAGTTACTATATATAATATTACATTATGTTAGAAAAACCGTCCGGTACGGATAATCAGTTATCCAAAGAAGATTATTTAATAATGAGAGCTAAAAAAGCATTGCCGGGCGATATCTATGCCGCTAAATCCTGGCTGATTACTGCCAGATCTTTATTTCCGCATAGTGCAAAAGTTCAGGTTAGTCCTGGATCATACATACACTTTATTTTATATATTTATTTTTTCTTTTTTACTTGTTTATTTGCGAATAAAGTAATTAATTTATTCCGAGAAGTATCGTCCATAATTTGGAGTTATTAGTTTTAAATTAAAATTTGTAAAATCATGGATAGTGATGTTTAATCTTTTCTACTTTTCCATTTTTCAGTTTGAAGCATATCGTATCGAGAAACTGTCAAAGAATGTAAAAGAGGCAGCAAAATGCTTTAGCGAAATGTAAGGCTCAATCACTATTGAAATATATGTATACTTTATATAAATTTATATTTAATATAATAATTTATCTATTAGTTATATAAGTACATTTATATCTTTACATTTATATCTTTTTTTAATCTTTTCTTAAATGTAAGTACAGATTTCAAAATTTTCCGGATGATCGCGATATATGGAAAGAGATAGAAACAGTGACAACGTGTCTTCGCTTAGAGCAGTGTGATAGCGAAGCTGAATTTTTGTGCCAAATGTTCCAACATATCCCACAGGATTTACAACATAGGTTGCTTGTAATGACAGCAGATCATAGCGAAGATACTATGGAACATTGTAAATTATTACTATTACTACTACGCAAATTTCCTCAAACCATAGCAACTCATGGAGTATGTATCTTTAAATATGAACAGATACTTAATTTTTCAATGATGTTTATTTGCATTATTACTTTAGCCACGTTTGGTGGAAACTTTGTTAACTGCGGAGAAACACAGTCATCCAGGCCGAACTGTGAATGGTTTTAGAAGATTATTGGCATGTGAAACATTACCACTGCTTGGTGATGCTGTAGTGGAATTAAATCCTCGTCTTAGCTTACGATTGTTATGCAAGGCTGTGGAATTTTACTTAGCATACATACAGCAGCCACAAGACACGCAAATTCAAAATCCGTGGGACAGACTTTTCCAAATTATGGAACTGATGAGTAAGAAATTAGGATGGGAATTGAGCAATTTATTCGCTATGCCTTGGAATCATGAAACATACAGCGATAAACTACAACAGTATGCAATTGTGCACAGCACTGGTCTGTGCGACGAACCTATTGTCAGGCAATTACTAATGTGCGCGATTGTAGTATTATTGAGAATATTAAACGAGCATAATGCTCTCATTAACAACGAAGAAACAGTATATTGTCTTGTAGAGGCTTTTGGAGAAGAAGTATATTCTGCAGGTGAGATATTATATTCATGATTAATGGACAATTTATTTTTGTACTTATATCTTAAATTCTCTCTGAATCAGAATCTAAATTGAAAAAGCGAAAGCGAGATGACAATGCTGGTATAGTAATAACTAGTGACAGTGACTACAATGGCAGTGGCTTAGCATTGGCAGTAAAGTTGTGGGATTTATTACATAGTACTGACTATCTTCAAAGAGAAATAACTAAACTGAATCAACAATTGCGGTTAGATAATTGGCTGAATCTATTCTTAACAGATTTAGCAATATATAAAGGTTTACATCATGAAGTAAGGGCGAGATTATTAGAAGGGAATACTTTATCTACTAATATTCGTTTGGCTTGTACAAGTTTCTTTTTGAAAGATTACCAGGTGTGCTATGATTATATTTGAATGATTATATTTTTATTAAATCTTAATTATATAGAATATAATTATATAGAATGTAATTAAGATTGTATTCTATATAATATATAGAATATATATCTTATAAGACAGATCTTAAGCTTAATTACATAGTGTATATTTTTCATTAAAATTATTAAATAATTTTTCTTCTAGGCTATGTTGGAATATATTGTTGTAGTAACAAACTCGTTACCTACTACTGCAGGCAAAATATCTCACACTCTGACAGTTCCAAGCATCAGACATTTACATTATTTGATTCTTGCTCGTTTTCCTATTTTACAATATTGTTGTAAATTGCTTCTTTTAGCTATTAAGGTAATAATTTTTTTAAATCCTTTTTTTTACATTGAAATATATGATTGATTTAACTTTAGGAAAATTTTTCTTCACCTGGAAATATTGGAGACTTGTCTATTGGACATGCATTGGTCCTTATACAAATAGATTGGCCACAAGAAGCTAATCTTTTAACTACAATAACAGAACGAATTCTCAATCGTGGAAGTTTTATTTATCCATTATTCCAATCATACATAATATGTATAGATATCTTAGAAGAATTAACGTATTTATGGTCTGATCATGGCGGAGGAATATCATTAGACATAACAACAGGAATGGCAATTATACAAAGTATATATAACATTCTTTAATATAGTGTATTATATGTTGTAGAAATAAAAAAATTATATAAGAATCATTCTAGATCGCCGTGTCACTACTCGTGGTGCTGATAAAGGAGTACGTGAAGAATTTAAGCAAGCCATGCGTCAACAAGCCGCACGGGACGGTACTGTATATTTAGATGAATTATTAGAAAAATTTATTATTAATGAACAAAACGTCATTCTGCATAGCTTAGGCCGGCCACAGTGTGCTGATTTACGATAACTGCAGTTTTGTCATACACACGCTCCAATAAATTTGAGCAAGCATGCTTGTACAAACTAGAGACATAGTATACGTAGATCATTAAATGACATAATATCATTAGCGAGCATTTTTGCATTAAAAATGAGATAAATGTACATTCGAATGTTGAAGAAAGCGGAGTACAAAAAGTGTAAGTAATGTGTGAACAGACATTCTGATTAGATTTCAGTCTTTAGTTACAACTGAACGTGCAACGTCGCTAGACACATTCCGATTTACTTCGTAAGTCAGTTTGCGCAAGTATTGAATTTTCATATTTGTTTTACTTGTGTAAAATAACTGTAGTTTTGTTACGCACACGCTCCAATGAACTTGTACAAGTGGTTTGTGCATGTATACTTGATAAGTTTATTTGAACATATATGGCCGGTTTTAATTCCAAACAAATTATGATTACAAGTATGTGGTAAGACTCAAAATGAATTTATTCATTTAATTAATATAATTCATTTAATTTGAAATTCCATTATACATTTGTAGTCATAATTTGTAGTCACTTGTACACATTTTTTTTATAATAAACAAGTTCCCAACACCTATAACTCAATTCTTGTTCTTGATTGGTATTTAACAAGAATAATTATATGATAGTTTATAAATTATTTGTAAAGATTTTATAAAATATAACAAATACAAATTAGAAATATAATATACAATTAAAGAATATATAACTTTTATTTCTTGCGAAATCCTATTTTACATATTAAGTATACAGTAAACACAAAGTGAAAACCAATGTTTTAAGATTTATGAAAGCATGTTTAATT